AGCATTCAGGAGGCAGTGGCACTTCAAGGCCAGCCTGGTCTACATAGTGAGTTTCAGGCTAGCCCAGTGTTCAAACAAACAAACAAACAAGCAGTCAAGCGGATCAGCTTTGCCTTCTCCAGGTCTAATTCCTTTTGTAACCAGTTAAGAGAATGTGGTGAGGTGGGCAGCAGAGAAAAACCCTTGTTTCTGCTTTCTGTATACTTAACTTATTTAGTGGGAAAAGACAAATCAGGAGTCAAAACCTCCTCTCACTTTCCCGCTTCTCTGTAAGCTTTACTGGCCTTATCTGTAAAAGACTGTGGGCACCTTGCAGGGTTGTGTGTCTACATGATTGTGTACACAATCCCCTGCATACAATAGGCCTTCTTGTATTCTGAGGTAGGACTGGGGTCTGGAAACCAGAATGTGGGTCATTGAAGGCGCTAATTCTGTCTTCACTTCAGCGGACTCAGGTCTGTTGGTGGGAGCCACGGATTGGGAATCTGTTCTCAGAAGTGTGTAAAGAGTACCCGACCCCATTTTTTATCAGCCTTGCCCTTGATCTGTGGGGAGATTTATCTTAACTCCCCTCCAGTCCTTCACGCAGCCAAGTTCCCCCGGGGCATTCACCCCCTTTCCACCTTTGTGGTCTTTCCTGTGGGCTTGGAGTCAGCAGGTGGGCGCAGCCTCCTCCCTCACACCCACTCCTCCTGGAAGCTGCCTGCAGTTGTCCCCTGCTGGTCACCCTCCTGGGATATCCTCACACTTCCATCATTCTGCTCCTGACCTGTTACTGTTTTTGTCTCCAATGCCCCTTGACATTCCTATAAAAAGCTTCTGAATTAGTGCTCTTCCCTTCCAGGACTTTTGTGGGACTTCAGTTCCTCCTACCAGGACTCTGGAGACCACGAAAGCGCCCCCATGTAAGAAGTTTGGCAGGCCCCCTCCCTTTCAGAGGCCCCCTCTGTTTTCTCCGTTCTCCATCAGCTCCAAAGCTTCTCACCATATCTGCAGCTTTGACCCTCTGACCCCTCTCTTTTTTTTTTTTCCGTGACTGTGGAGGCCCCATCTCAATTTACTGTTCTCCTGTGGAAACTGGGAACTAGGAAGCTAGGAAGGCTGCCCCGAATTCAGTGGTAGCCGCCTTTAGAACACTGGCAGGGCTGCCAGGCCTGTGTCAGCTGTAGTTAAAACACCACTTGTGGGTGGGTTTCAGTGCGGTGGCTGCTGTTCCTCCTGGACACAGTGACATCTTTGGGCACAGGGACGTCTGCATTCCATGGTAGTCCCTGAGCTCAGGAGGACAACAGATGAGGGAAGGCATCTGCATGGGGCCATCTGTGCTAAAATCCATTTCTCTCAGATTTGGCCCAGGTCAAGAGGAATGAAGGAGAAATATGGAATCTCCCCAAAAGGGCTAATGAAGAGGGCAGGAGAATAGCCCAGCACTAAAGAGAAATACCCCACCGTGGTTAACCAAAAACAGCTGTCAGGCCTGAGTCTAAGTCAGGAGCCACAAACAGCCCCCGAAGGGGCAAAAGGAGCCATAGAAGACAGTGGAATAAATAGCATGTCAGAGACCCGGGACTGCCAGAAACTCAAAGGGACAGCAAAGACATAAAATCTGCATGGGAGGCAGTAAAACCCCAAGAGTGACATAGAGACAAATTGACAGCGTGGTGTGGCACAAATACTTCACACGTCAGCCATACATGCAGAAGGACCGAGATGAAACAGCTCAGGGGAGAGGCAGGAGAAACGGAAAATAGGCAGGGGCAGTCATTCCCAGGCACGGATGACCTCCGAGGCTTGATCCTCACGGAGACAAAGCTCTCCCCCTGATTCACTCCTGAAGAAACCTGGACCCACTGGGCACGGAGCACTTAGGTAAGGAGGCTGAAGAGACTCCAGCTGCCCTTTAGCCCTGGATTCAAAGGTCAGAGAGGTCAGGGAGAAACGTTGGCTGCTTTATTTGTTTTCAGTGTATCTACTCCTGTTCCTAAACCCACCAGGACACTGGTGTGGCTCAGGAGGACAGCTAGGAGAGGAGCTGACTGGAAGACACCTTCTTCAGCTAGCGCTCACCCAGCTCTGCACTTGCTCAGTGGGGTGACCCCCTTCCCACAGTCACAGTGACCAGTGAGTGACAGGTGAGCCCTGCTGGTCGACTTTGAAAGCCTGTCTTTACTCTTTTCTACAAAACCAGTCATCGCAAATAATCCAATGTCCTTAAATGAGACGTTCAATGTTAAGTAGTCTAAAGAACTGTGCGGTTTTAAAAGCACCACCAAAGTCACCGCTTTCTTTCCCCACTTGGTGACAATTATTCTCATTGAACGGGGTCTCTGTGCACTAACTTAGGATTCGGAAGTGCTCTGTTTGCTTGGTCAGCTTGGGGGAACAAAAAGCTGCTAAGGACTAGCTTGGTACCCTGAATCTGAGCAACTAATTGGGCTCATGTGTCTGTGTTCTGCAGTATGGATTTCCATTATTCCTAGCCTCCCAAAGACCACCCCCCCCCCCACTTTTCTTTCAATAAAGAAGACCCTGGAGGTAAGGCCAGGACCCAGGATGTCTCCTCTCTTTAGTCCCAGCTCCCAAGGACAGGGGCTTTGTTGTCTGAGAAGGGATGCCATCAGGGGAATCTATCCCTCCGGGAACTGCGTTGGGCATACATTTATGGTTCCTGGGCTTTCCCCTTTGTTTATTCTTTGTGGGAAGGTTGCGGGTGCAGAGGCCCAGGCATGAAGTTTCTCTGCTTTTTCTGGGAAGGCTGAGGCTTCCCAAGGACCGGCCAAACCCGGAGAGAAGTAGAAGAATTGCAAGTATGGCAAAGGCCACTCCTCTCCCAGGGAAGCGCAGGTTATTAACTGGGAATTCTTTATAGCTGGCCCGAAGGCAGTTTTCGGCTGTAAACTGGCTTGCACCGCAGCCCTCCTTAAAAAAGGCTATGGACGAGGTTCTGGGGACAAAGATCAGAAATCAACCACAGAAGAGGGTAGGGCAGAAATAGCTAAGCCCTGGAAGAGCTGCTTTTAGCCTGGAGTGTAGAGATATCACTGTTCATGGTAGAAAATGTAATATTATTTATTTGTCTCCTCTCGTTTGGAGAACGGATCCAAAGCAATCTTCCATGAGCTTCGTGGACGATGGAGAAAAATTCATCTGTGAAGAACCACATTCCCAGGCCGGATTCACCTTCCTGCCAGAGGTTAGAGACCTCCAGCCTCTTTTGGATCCACCCTTCGTCCTCACGTCCCCTCCGCCTAGACAGACCCTTTATTCCCAGTGCAGGGACTCAGAGAGTCTCAGGCCTTAGGTCTTTTGCATCTCTTCAGCAAACTCCTGCAAACCCACCACACTAAGCTGGCTGGTGGGCGTTGCGGGTAGGGCTAGGGCTGGGTGCCAATGAGGGCCTTTTGGTGTGTCTGCAGAAGGAACCGTTTCCCTAGGGTCGGGCCAGACCGAAATTTCTTTACATCCTGGACTACAAAAGAGCAATAAGCATGATAGCTAGGGAATCCCAGTGCCCAGTAATCAGTTGGAAAAGGGAAAGTAGCCCAGGACGAGTTCCCATCCCACTCCGGGAGTGCCTTCCCGCGATTGGCTCCCAGAAAACCCTCTCTCGCAGAAGCAAGAAGCAGGCAGAATCCGAAGACCGGGTCTGCCTTACCCAGCAACCCCGACCCCAAAGACTTCCCAGGGAGACTAGGAGAGGCACAGGATTTTCAAAAGTGGGTGCCCCACCTGATGCAGGGACCTTTTCCAAGGAGCTTCCAAGGTCGGGTGCGCGTGTGGAAGACGGGGAACCCAGACCCTCGATTTAAAGAACTGGGAGCGATCTCTGGCTTCCTTCCCGCTTCCTGGGCTCCCATTTTAGAGGAATGTTATTGTTTAAAGAGACCCCATTGAACTATTTCCTGCTCTTTGTCACCTTCCTCTCGCTCTCCGGCAGAGGTTCTCACCGAGAGGTAATAAACCAACTGCTGCCCACACCGCTTGGCGCGGAGGCGGATAGGGAAACGCGCCCAGCGTGCGTTCCAATAATCCCCGGGGCAAAGAGGCCGGGGACTCCCGGGGCCACATTCGGTGCAGGCGCAGCCACCATCACCAAAGCCCAACTTTTATGTGGGGTGCGAGGACACCTACTAGGGTCGCTATCTGGACAGATCCGCACTGGCCTTCCCTCTCCAAGCAGGTGAAGGTCGTGGGGAACCCGGAGGGCCGAGGTGGGAGTTAGTGGCAGTCCACGGGGCGAGGGGATGTGTCCCGAAGCTGCTGCACCTCTGAGGGCTGAGGCTTCGGGAGTGGTCAGGGAGACGCAGATCCGCCGTAGTCTCTCGCAGGTGCGCGCAGCGTGGACACTCTAAGTGCCACTGCCGCAGGTGCTAGGGTGCGCTTGCAAGCGCAATGTGATCGAGTGTGGGAGTGGAGAGTTTAGCAGTTGTTCTGGGAGCAGGGGCTGGGTGGCTTCAGCATTGCTCCTTGCCCTCCCCCCAGGGTCCGCCCCGCCGCTTTGATGGAGGTGCAAACATTTGGGGGAGGGCGGGGGTGTCGGGACTGAGCCCGACGCTTTTCTTACAGGAAGCGCGCGCGGAACCCATTGTTGGCCCCCGGCCTCCGGGCCCGCCCGGCCGGTCTGATATGGCCGCACACCGCCAATGGGCAGTGGCTCGGTACTTCAAAGGGTGTCCCGCCCAATCCGCCGCGCCCCCTGCGAGGCCACTTGGGCTGTATTTATGGGGAGGGGACCCATTTTCTCTTCCCCAGAGACTTACTCTTGTCGCGCCTTGCGGGAGTTCAAGTGGAACCACGGCTCCCCAGCCCCTCTCCCCTCTCCCCGCCCCCTTCCCCCCACATCCCGGTCCTGGCCCTCCTTTGGCGAATGTGCTGGGACCCAGGTGTGGTCTTTGGGTTCCGCAAGTGATCCTTTTTCTTGGAAAAGGGGAGTGAGAGAAGTGAAGGTGGCTCTTGGGTAGGCAGTCAAGACTCGGGGCGGTGGAGAGGGCGGCAGGAGGATGAGCTCCCCAGGCACAGAGAGCGCAGGGAAAAGCCTGCAGTACCGAGTGGATCACCTGCTCAGCGCCGTGGAGAGCGAGCTGCAAGCGGGCAGCGAGAAGGGCGACCCCACGGAGCGCGAGCTGCGAGTGGGCTTGGAGGAGAGCGAACTGTGGCAGCGCTTCAAGGAGCTAACTAACGAGATGATTGTGACCAAGAACGGCAGGTAGGTGCGTGCTGCAAGACTGCGGTCTGGGGCCTGGAGAATGCCTCCCGGGTGTAGAGGTGTAGAACACCGTTTTTCTGCTTAAGGCCGACTTTCTGTTTCTTCCCGCTGCGTTAACTGCCCCGAGGGGTTTCCTAACACCATTTTCTCCGGAACTTTCACTGACGAAACTCTAGGATTCCCCCAGGTCTACACTGATGTGGCCAGGCTTGCCTGTGTCCTCTAAAGCCTTGATCGGTTTGTCCCTCTTCTGTCTCTAGAGACTGTGGGCTTAGTGGGGAGATGGATTTAGTCCCAGGGCTGACTAAGCTCAGGCAAAGAATCCTGTGAGACCGGCCGCAGGGGGTGCTTCTTTGACCATAATAAACACTTGGTGCCAGGCTTCCTCACTCCAGTCGGATGGGGTCCTCCTGCTGTGACCTGTCTTTTCCAGGAGGATGTTCCCGGTGCTGAAGGTGAACGTTTCGGGTTTGGACCCCAATGCCATGTATTCCTTCTTGCTGGACTTCGTCGCGGCTGACAATCACCGCTGGAAGTATGTGAATGGGGAGTGGGTACCTGGGGGCAAGCCGGAGCCTCAGGCGCCCAGCTGCGTCTACATCCACCCAGATTCGCCCAACTTCGGGGCCCACTGGATGAAGGCTCCGGTGTCTTTCAGCAAAGTCAAACTCACCAACAAACTCAACGGAGGAGGCCAGGTAGGGTGTGCGGGAGACAGGGAGACAGACGCAGGGCGCAGGGCGCAGCCCAGAGAGTAGAGGGCTGCACCTCCCTCAGCTTCTGTCAGCCTCACAGAAGCCACCACAGGCCTCCCCAATTAAATCTTTAGTACTGTTTATAATTAAACTGATAAGGGTCACACCGAGGCCCGCGGCTGGGAGTCCTCACCCTGGAAGGCTGGGGTGTCGGGTGGAACAGGCTGGCTGGCCTGCCTCTTGGGAAACCTGCTCAGGCCTCATCACTCTAAGGGACCCAGCTGGGTGGGCTTTGATTATGAATCCTCAGTCACATCGAAGTCGGACCCGTGGGACACTCCACTCTTCTCGAAAGCCCTTAATTGGAGCCTGTTGCTAGAAAACTCAACTCCAAGTCGCCATCAAGGCAGGCATTTAAAGTTGTCTGTGGCCTTATTCGATCAGGGTTCAATAGTGTGTAGTGCCTCATAGCCTAGTTCCAGACCAGCTGAGAGAAGCAGATGTGTAAGACACGGAGAAACCCCACCATGGGGTGCGTACTGCGGGCAGTTTCCCGGAGACTTTGTAGCTGGATCCGTTTCTCACCTAGAAGTTGCTGTGGAGGCTGTGGTACTGAGGTGGGCGCCATCTCCACGTTTGCTCCTTTTCTCTCCTGCAGATCATGTTGAATTCCTTACACAAGTATGAGCCTCGCATTCACATTGTGAGGGTGGGGGGCCCACAACGCATGATCACCAGCCACTGCTTTCCCGAGACCCAGTTCATAGCTGTGACCGCCTATCAGAACGAGGAGGTGAGGCTTCGGAAGGGAGAGAGAGGGTCCTCTCCGTGTGCTCACCCGCTGTGCCTAGGTCGTGGACTTCATGCTTTGTAAAAATCTCCTGGAAAGGGCTAGGTGACAGTCCCTGCTCTCAGCAATGTGAAGTCCTGGCAAATGCAGCCAAGGGGCCTTAACAGTGCTGCTGTTGGCTATTAATAACACCTCGGGAAACCCACGGTCTGTCTGAACATAGACATGATAGAGACCAAATTTATTGGGAATCTCACTCAAATTGCTTTTTTTTTAATTTCCCAACATTTCAGACCCAGATAGAAAAATTTTCTGATTCAACCTGAATATTTCGACTTGTTTCTGTTCTTTCTTGGTTTCTTTTTTCCTTCTTTGGTAGTGTCCCCCCTGCCCCACTTCCATCTTCTTTTGATTCAGGGTCTTGCTATGTAGTCCTGGCTATCATTATATTCACAGCAGTCCTCCTGCCTCAGTACTCTGAACCTTGGACTGACAGACCCATGAACTTCTCATGGTTCCCCCCATTCAATCAAGTCCGGTAACAGCACTGAATTAGTAAATGTCCTTCCTTGTTTTTCAGATCACAGCCCTGAAAATTAAATACAATCCGTTTGCAAAGGCCTTCCTTGATGCCAAAGAAAGGTGAGAATTCCAACCCCACTCTGGGTAGAAAGGAGTTTCTCTCTCCGGGAAATTCTTCCTTTGACTACTCTGATTTTTTTTTCTTTTTTCAGAAATGACCACAAAGACGTGCTGGAGGAGCCCGGGGACGGCCAGCAGCCGGGGTATCCCCAATGTACGTTTGTTGGTCCTCTATTCTCCGTGGCCCTCTGGCTTGTTTGAGTTCTAAGATTCCCCAAAACCAGAACCCACAGGGAAGCAGAACACTTTCTGGGAACAATGTGGGCATAGCAGGATGGCCCTTTGTGACCAACACAAATGCCCTTTAGTTTGGGGGCTGCTGCCTGATCTTCTTGGGCTTTGGATACTGGCAGGCCAAAGAACTCTGGATTTGTGTATTTGTTCTGTAGTAGCCAGAGGTAGAGTGGACTCCTGGGAGTTTAGACTTGGTTATGATGAGAATTCAGCTCAGCCCCCTCCCTTGGAGATGACCTCCACTCTTGTCAGTGGCTGAACACTGAATGGCTGTCTTTAGAGACACACATGAACAACCATCCAGCTTAGTCCCCTTTGGCTCCTGACTTCTGTGGCTTGGAAGGAAGGGGGCTAGTCCTTTTAGAATTCCTTTGGGAGTTCTCTTAGCCAGAATGAGGGGTGCAGATAGATCAGCTATTCTCAGCTGGTATTTTAACACCACCTTCCACAAATTTGACAAATGAATTTAAGAAACAGGTCGCCCGTTGTGACTCAAAGGTACTCATTTGAGAGCAGATGGGGAGAAATGGGCAAGAGAAGGCCTGTGTATGGGGCCACACGGGACGGCATGGGCGTGCGTGCCTGTGTGCGCGTGTGTGCACGCATATGTGCATGTGCGCACACGTCTCTATCTTTTAAGTATTGTCTGAAGAACTGTCCTGCTTAGAAATTGTCTCATAGATCATTCATTTTGCTTAATTAAAAAAAATTAGTTTAGTTCATGTAGCTGTCTTGGAGAGGAGATGTTGTGGGGAGAATGGGGAGGCCTGGAGGAGTCAAACAGAAGGGACTAAATAGGAGATGGATTCACTAGCTATTTCTGAGACAGGAGCATGACTGACGGGGAGCAGTCCTGAACAGTCTGGGTCCCACCTGTGGCCAACTGTGTTCCTCCTGTCTTCATGTTCCTTCCTTTGAACAATCATCTCATTCTTGCTGAGAGAAAGCTTCTTGCCACAAAGACATCCCACACAGGCTGGGAGAGGTCTCAGGTTTGGTCCTCCAGGACAAAGCAATGGGCTCAGTTCAGGCCACTCCAGAGCTGGGCATCTCAGGCTTACAGAGTGGAGTTCCACACTCTGATGTTTGAGATAAGTTAGCATTGAGGGGTGGGTCATTCGGTGTTTCTCACTTCCAAAGAGACTCCTGGATTAGGGCTAGGGTGGTTCTGAGTCTCAAGCAAGGGCCTCTCACTCAGCATGCTTTCTTCACAGCAGGGGGGTGGCTTGTTCCTGGCACCAGCACCCTCTGTCCACCTGCCAGCTCCCACCCTCAGTTTGGAGGCTCGCTCCCTCTCCCCTCCACACATGGCCGCGAGAGGTACCCGGCTCTGAGGAACCACCGCTCATCCCCTTACCCCAGCCCGTATGCTCACCGGAACAACTCTCCCAGTAGGTTCTGTGTCTTGGTTCATCAGAGGCTGGGGTGGTGGGGGGACACCAGTGGGGAGGCATTCCTACAGGGGTGCGGGATAGAGAACCCAGCTCCTGGTGGCTCCTGAAGAGACTTGGTCAGGATGGTGGTTTACCAGAGGTCTCTATGGAGGCTTTCGGTATCCATGTTCCTCAGAACACCCCCCAGGTTTAAAAACAACAGCTGTCTGGTCCTTTTCACTGATCTCTAGTTCAGACGTTTGATGAGGTGATCTCTCTAAGGTAATCAATCATTGGACTAGCCAGGTGCAAGCCTTTCCGAATAGAACAAAGATTCTCCAGGTGTAGAACCCAGGCCCTCAGTGTCACTGAGAACCAGCCACAGTGTAGATCCTCCCAGCCCCAGAAGCTGGAGGTGTGGTGGCCCTCCTGACCAACTTCCCTGATGGGGACTTCCAGAGACCTCCTCTCTCACACTGTCTGCTCCAGGAGGAGGGGGAAATGGCTAAGGAACACCATAAAACAATTAAGTAATTACAGCTGATTCCCAATGAAAGGCAACAGCTCTGGAGACCTGTTCAAGGAGAGGCTAGCCTCTGAGGCGGGGAGATCATATTTTTAATTTAGTGAGGCCCTGGTTTCCAAAGCCTACTCAACCCTTATAGCATAACCCCCTGTGGAAAAGTGGCAAGTGTTATTTATTTACTTAACACTTACTTGGCTAGCATTTGAAAGGCTCTGAATCTGATCCCCAATGTCACAAAATATAAATAAATAGCATAAAAATAAAAAGATAAGCAATACCAGTGTCTGCGGTGTCTGGTGGGATGATAAGAGATAGCTTATATTAACTGGGATGTATTTTCAAATAATTCACATAAAACAATAAATATTGCCCTGATGGCCACTTAAGTGGCTTGCTCGCTGCATCTAGTGTCCAGGCAGCATTTGTTTGCAGAGTTAGGTTGGCTCAGCTGTTAGTTAGTATCGTTTTTTGTTACACTTTCTCCCTTTTCAAAGACCTGTCAGGTAACTCCCCTCTTTGCCCCCAGCCTATGCCGACAATTCGTCTGCGTGTTTGTCCATGCTGCAATCCCACGACAACTGGTCTAGCCTAGGAGTGCCTGGCCACACCAGCATGCTACCCATGAGTCACAGCACCGGCCCGCCTACTGGCTCTAGGTACGTATGGTCTGTGTGTGTGTGTGTGTGTGTGTGTGTGAGTGTGTGTACGCGTGCGCACGTGGGAAAGCAAGTCCTCCTACAGCTTTGGCTGGTTCCATTTATGGCCTTTCCCCTGATCTGCCTCTGGATCCCACCTATGGGTGGTTGGGCTTGTGTTTATAATTAAACTAAGATTAACGGGACCAGGGACACAGGTTCCATGTGTAGTTTTGATGGCCTGCCTTTATTTTACTGGTGGTTTGCTCTACTTAACCAAACCAGGGTACAGTCTTACCTTGGGTCTTAGCATCGCTGTGATGAACAGGCCTCTAATTCATCTGTGTTTCTCCATATGTAAAAAGATACGAAAGAGCTCCAGCCCCAGGCTGTTTCTCTCAGGCTGATGGGGTTGACACGTGTGGTTTAAAGTAACCTTTGAATTTTGAATTTGAAATTCGTGCCCTGGCAGTGCTGAAGCACGCGTGGGTAGCCCTCATATGGCGGTTCTGCTGAACTATTGGGTTTCGTGGTCTTAAGCTGATGAGGACGACTGACCAGGTCCTTCCTTTAGAGAACCTTTATCAGTTAGGGCAAGGCATTCCTTGACTTTTCTGTGGATAAAGGAGTAGAAGCCCTGAATGGCATGCTGGGAAACAGGTAAAGGATGGGAACTGACTGACCAGCGAGTTCTATAACAGGAAGCTCAAACACCCAGCAACGCTGGTGGCAACGCATCCCCTTCAGGCTTGTTACTCCTCCACAGTACTGACTTACTAGCAGAGTAGCAAAGCTGGAGGCCACCACGGGTTCTCCCGTGGGGAAAGGTGCCCGACCCTATAAATTCTGGGACAGTGGTGTTGATGGACCTGCCATCATGCGACCTTGACCTCAAAGGCATCCCTGGTGGTCTAGAACAGTGGTTCTCAACCTTCCTAATGTTGTGACCCTTTAATGCAGTTCCTCGTGTTGTGGTGACCCCTACCATAGAATAATTCCATTATCACTTCAAAACTACAATTTTGCTGTATGAATCGTAATGTAAATATCTGATATGCAGGATTAGATGTGTAACACCCAAAGGGGTTGCCACCCACAGGTTGTGAACCATTGATCTAGGACATTAAATGTTTGCATAAGGTCTTAGCTGTTTTAGTTTTGGGTGTAGCTTTTTACTAATAGGAATCTAGTTGCCTAGTATTTTTTTGGTCATGGGGGGGTCCAAGTATGTAACCCAGGCTGGCCTTGTACTCACTATAGAGTCTAGAGCTCAAGATCTTGGCTCAGCCCCCTCAGCTGTTGGCAGGTATTGCTGCAACCACTTTAGTCTGATCTTGAAGCAAACACACCCAAGACATCAGACTTGTCAATGGCCCTGAGGACATTGTTTCAGATGCTAGAGGACCTGCTGGCAGCCAAGTGCTGAACCAGTTTGGTATCTCAGTCTGAAACTCACGCCTGGAAAAACCCAGTAGTCCTCCTTAATTTGCCCAGGCTAGCCCTCAAGTTCAAATTGAGGTAGGTGTAGAGGAAGGCATGTTAAATAATGGTCATCATGTCAGATCATGTTATGTGTTTATAGATGAACTCTAAGGAAGGTTTCCCAAACAAAAATTTAGTATAGTTTAATGAAATTTGTTTCTAGGGTGTAGGCCAGAGGGCTTGATACTCATTTCAGTACCCTCATTTTAAAGATGAGGAGACAGCCTGAGGAGCTGTCACGGGGCGGGCCACAGAGCAGAGCTGGTCTCAAGTCCAGCTCTGGGGTCGCTTGCATATTGGCCCATGTCAACCTTGCTAACACACTGTCCGCTGGATGAGATGAGCCAGCAATGATGCTATTCTGAGGAACGCTTTCCTCTGTGGATTCAGGGATTGCTGCAGGACGTTGGCAACATAAGCTAACAAAGTAGGCCTGTAGCTCCGAGCCTTGGAGCTCAGCACAAATTTTGTGTGTTAACGAACACAGAGATGCTTGCCCAGAGTCTGTCTTAGCAGACCGTGGCCCACTACTGCCCACTGGGCTTGTGCACGCCTTCCTTTTAGTTTGCTTCCTGTTGACTTTGTGTCCTCACGCAGTAGCTTCTAAATACATGATAACAGAGGAAAGGCCAGCCTGCAAAACCGTGGGATGATGCGATTACCGACAACCACATTCTGAGTACTGGTCCCTCCCCTCCACCTCGCCCCCATGTTGCTGATTTGGAGCCTCTTCCCAGCGCCTTGACATCTGTTTTCTTCATTTCAGCCAATACCCCAGCCTATGGTCTGTGAGCAATGGCACCATCACTCCAGGCTCCCAGACAGCTGGGGTATCCAACGGGCTAGGAGCCCAGCTCTTTCGGGGCTCCCCTGCACATTACGCACCTCTGACGCACACGGTCTCGGCGGCCACGTCCTCTGGCTCCCCTATGTATGAAGGGGCGGCTACTGTCACGGACATTTCTGACAGCCAATACGACACAGCCCAGAGCCTCCTCATAGCCTCGTGGACTCCCGTGTCACCTCCATCCATGTGACCTGAACTCTTCCCCGCCGTGCGCTGAGACTGGTAACAGCCAGTGTCGACTGGATCCTCTCCTAGGCACCACGAGGCAGGCTCTTGGGACAAGGGAAAGAAATAAAAGCTTGCTAATAACTCCATTGTCAAGTAAGAGGATGTCTATCATGTTCCACGACCCTCTTGCTTGACACCCGCGGTAGTGATGTGTGTCCTACATGTGAAGCCAGGTACAGAGGCGAGGCTGGGGTCCTGTCAAATCCTTTGTCTCTGCTACAGCATGTAGGTGACTTTGGAAGGCTGGGCTTTGCCCACCCCTGTCCTACTGTAGTGAGACACAAGGCACACCTCTAATGCCTGTCCTCATTGCTTTAGAGTAGTTAGCTTTGAGGACAGAGAAACCATAGCCAGCAGACTGTAGCTAAAATGGAAACTCCTCCGCCCTCTAGAAGATTCTACCTTAAGCACATGTAGCTTCTTGTGTTGTGAAGTCAACTGCGCGATACTTTTCTGTTGACGAACTAGCCAAAGACAATCCGCAGAAAGTTTATTTCTTTTCTGCACAATAAAGGCAATATGCAGCAGAGGGTCCTTGCGGTTATTGTGTTCACATCTCCTTCTGGGAAAGGCTTTCTCTCCAAGATGTGTTTCAGTCCGTTCTGAACTTTAATGTAGCTAAATCGGTTGCAGAACTGGTGGGATTCATTTTATGTACCTGTGCAATCTTAGTGGCTAAAAAAAGTAAAATGAAGTCATATGGAATCACAGATGAATGTGCACAGCAGTATTGAAGCATGTCGGTGTCATAAAGATACAGGATATCTGCCTGATACAAGAAAGGGCATAAAATGGGCTGATAAAGTCAGTTAATGTATAGTTGCCGTAGAAATATGACTGCCGGTAGCTTTTGACTTTTGCAATCACTGTTTTTATTTTTCCTCATCAGTAAAAAGATGCTGCAGGGGCCTGTGTGTGTGGTAATCCCTCCATCTAGTGGCAGAATCCATAGTGGGACCCAGGTTTTGGTTTAACCCAAATCTCTGCTCTCTTAAAGTTTCAGCTGGCCAGTTTGGTCACCGGTAAAACAGGAGTCCTGCGTGGAGGCTGTGCACATTAAGTTTGAAATAGAAAGCTGAGGGGTAAGGGTTGGGGGTACCCCCTGCAGCACTGCCTTCCTCAGACCCCATGTTGAGGATACAAAGTGATTGCTTTTCAGAGCTTGGGTAGAAACGACTGCACTTTCTGGTGTAGTCTGCGCTATTCTGAGAGGGCCGTGCTTGCCCTCTTCCTGTAGAGCTCCTCACACCTGACCAGATTGATTGACAGGGCTAGGTAAATAGTTTCAGAATTAATCCATGGCTAGGATTGGGAAATAAACCAATTGTTTGGCTGTGGGTCCTCACCAGGGCAGGTGCTAAGATTCTGGGCCTTGGCTCGGGGGATATTTGAGGTGGAGACCAGGTGTGAGCAGGTGCCACCCTGAGATCATGCTCTTCACAATGTGTGGCCTTGTATGTCAGGAACTTCACTGTCCCTGTGGTGTCTGCTGGGGTTGAAGAACTGTAGGTCATCACGAGGGATGTCTTCACCCTGTTATTAAGGCTGAGGAGACAGAGCTCTGTATCCCTTCTGTTATGAGCCTGGGTCATAGTGGGGCAAGTTCTATGCATGGGCAGTGGATGACGATTGACCTGCTTAGCTTCATCAAAGTATTCAGGTTTTGAATTAGAGCGGTATTTTAATAATTCAATCTTTGTGGTGATGAAGTGGGAAGAGAAGGGGCTGTAAAATGAAAAGAACCTGGCGTTGAGTTCAACAATCTCCCCTCATCTACAGGGGATATGGTCTAAGATCTGTTAAAAGACTGAAACCACGGGTGGTGTGTGTGTGTAGTTTTCCCCATCCGACCGTCCACCCATCCACCATCCATCCATCCATCCATCCATCCATCCATCCATCATCCATCCATCTATCGATTAGCCATCCATCCACCCATCCATCCATCATCCATCCATTTATCCATCTATCATCTACCCATTATCCATCCATCCATCCATCCATCCATCCACCATCTATAGATTAGCCATCCATCCACGATCCACCATCCATCCATCCATCCATCCATCCATCCATCCATCCATCCACCATCTATAGATTAGCCATCCATCCACCATCCATTTATCCATCTATCATCTATCTACCCATTATCCATCCATCCATCCATCCATCCATCCATCCAAGTGACATCTCTTAATTTAAAAACGAGGCACTGCAGGATATTAATAAATATAATAAAATTGAGCAGTTATTAGAGTATATTGTGATAAAGTCACCAACACTACATTTGCTTATTGAGTAATAGTTACTTAGTCTCAAGCACTGTGATGCTAAGACAAGCAGCCCTGATGTCTACACAAATGTGTATTTAAGAGGGGTTGGGGTGTAAGAGTGGGTACAGTGGACAGAAAAAAGATTCAACTCAGGCACAATGGAGCAGGCTGCTGTAATTTATTTAATAAGTGGCATAAGAAAGACACCATGTGACAGCTCACATGGAGGGGCTTTTTACTGGGGGGAAGGGGAATGGAAAAAGGGAAAAAGTGGGGAGGGGAGAGGGGAGACTGGCCTTGGGACAGGAGCAGAAGAGAGAGAGAGGGAGAGAAAGGGGAGAGTGAGGAGAGAAAGAGAGGGAGAGTGAGGGAGGGAGAGAGAGAGAAAGGGGAGAGAGAGGAGAGAGGGAGAGAGGCGGAGAGGGAGAGGGAAGGAGGAGATGGGAAGGTGGGCAAGGCCCACCTTTTAAAAGATAATGTAGGGCATTTGCACAGGAGGTGCTCTTAGTGGCAGCAGCTGAGGACTTATCAATCCTGTCAGGCCCCCAAGGGTGGCCAGTACAGATTCCTGTGTACTATTACAGGCTGGTACAAGATTGTTCTTTCTTTTTTTCCGAGGTTTTTACTTTTTAATTTACTTTTATGAGTGTTTTTTTCCTGCATGTATGTCTGTACAGCATGTGTGTATAGTACCCACAGAGGCCCCCAGAGAGTATGACTACAGGAACTGGAGTTATAGAGAGTTATGAGCCACCTTGTGGGTGCTGGGAATTGAATCCAGGTCCTCGCTGTGAAAGCAGCCAGTACTCTAACTGCTGAGGAATCTCTCCAGCCCCATTACAAGATTTAACCCCATTACTCAAAGCAATGTACAATTTAAACATATCAAATGGTTTATTTCTGAAAATTCACACTGAACATTTCAAGCTGGGATTGGCCGGGGCAGGAGCTGCCCTGACTGGGAGGAGGACCGCGCACTTGGCGGAGACCTGAGGATGGTAGGTCTCTACTTCCAGAACAGGTTTCTCACTGTGATAGCAGAGGAAGTATTTAGTGTGCCTGTGAGAAACGCGAGGATTTGGAGAGTGGGCAGAAGGCCAGATGAGTGTGGCATTGTAAGATTCTGAGACCGGGATGACTGAGCCCAGCTCTGTTGATGAAGTCTTGGGATAAGGGCTTTCAGACCACCCAAGCCATCTGAAAGAGAGCTACCTAGAAGACACTCAGACAAGCTGAGCTGCCCGGAAAAGGCTAAGACTCACGAGGTTGCTGGGGACTGAACCTGGGGGCTGCAAGAGCCACAAGTACTCCTAACCACAGAGCTGTCTTTCTAGTCCCCAAACTTGATCCTAAAGCTAAGGAACACAAATTAACGACATTTATCAACACGGATAGGAAAATACCTTAAAAACAACACAGACAGAACCAATGAGGACGCCGTGAGTGGGAGGGGCAGCCGCTTCACCTGTGGGAGGGTGGATGCAGGGCGCAGGGCTGGGTGTGTCCTCTCTGCCTAAGGACTAGGGGAGCCGCTTCACCTGGTAGAATGTTTCCTCTCCTAAAAGGTTTAACAGAATTGGTTTTTAGATCCTTATATCCAAACACACTTTTTCTAGGTGGGCTCTTTCCATGCGTTTCCACTAACACCTCCTTGAGAGGGAAAAGCCTCCTTTTGGAGACTCCAGGGCACTTTCCCGGGGCAGAATAAACGCTTTCCAACAGCATCCAAAAGGATGTTTCAAAATCCTGCTGCTTGCTCTAGAAACAGCTGAGTTTCTGTTTATTAAAGCTGCAGAGCCGGTGGCTGAAGCCCTCAAATGATTCCCACGTGGTCCGTTTCCAGCAAGGAGCCCTGAAGTCTGTCTGTCTGTCAGCACTCTCCTTTCAAATCTATTTGCACTTTTTTGAGACAAGATTTCTTTGAGTAGTTCGGGAACTCACTCTGTAGACCAGGCTGGCTATGAACTCAGAGAGATCTGCCTGCCTCTGCCTCCAGGAGTGCTGGGATTGAAGGTGTGCACCACAATCCAACTATGAATTTGCATTTTTATACCTTGAGACTTAAAAAAAGATTATTTATATGTGTATGAGTGCTCTATCTGCATGTACGAATTTATGCCAGAAAAAGGTATCAGATCCCACTATAGATGGTTGTGAGCCACCATGTGGTTGCTGGGAATTGAACTCAGGACCTCTGGAAAAGTTTTCTTTTTTTTTTTTAATTATTTATTTATTATGTATACAATATTCTTCCTGCAAGCCAGAAGAGGGCACCAGACCTCATTACAGATGGTTGTGAGCCACCATGTGGTTGCTGGGAATTGAACTCAGGACCCTTGGAAGAGCAGGCAATGCTCTTAACCACTGAGCCATCTCTCCAGCCCCCTGGAAAAGTTTTCTTAACCACTGATTCATCTCTCTGGGTCCTACTCTGAGACTTTTGGTGGCAACTGTTTCTTTTAATGATATCAATCTTTAAAAAATAATTATAATTACTTTTTTGTAGTCTCTTTTTGTTTGTTTGTTTGTTTGAGACAGGGTTTTTTGGTGTAACAGCCCTAGCTGTCCTTCTTGGAACTCACTTTTTAGACCAGGATGTCCTCAAATTCACTGAGATCTGCCTGTCTCTGCCTCCCGAGTCCTGGGATTAAAGGCGTGTGCCACCACTGCCCAGCTCTTTTCTGTACTC